AATAAATGGATATAAATGACTTAGGATTGAGCCACTGTTGATCCGTACAATTGATCTCCTCTAGAAATAAAGAGATCATCCCACTTGACAAGTTGACTACTTTTTAAATGCAAATTTAGCAAGGCATTAGAATCCAAGTATGAAAGCAAGGGGTCTGAGAAAGCAGGACAGACTGACTTTACTCTCGCCTGTCAGAGGTCTGATGAAGAATCCTCCACAGAGGGGAGCTCCTTGGAAAGCTCATGCTGGCAGTGAGGACAGATTCCCTACTTCTCTGTAAGAGTGAACAGCACCAGCGACTTCAAAGGCCATGGTCAAGGCATCTAGGGTTCCCTTTAAGCCCGCTGAGCTTGTTTCTTCCAGCACATTCATTTCCCCCTGATTTCTGCCCCACCCCCAGCAGAGTCTCTTTTATTAAGATCTCCGGCACCAGCATCTGTGGCCTCATGCAGACCCAGGGGAGAACGTGACGCTTTGATGAGTTCTCCTCCTCACGCTCTGCAGGACATGAGCGCAGCCCATCCCTCTGCCTCCCCAGGGGTTCTTTTCGTATTATTGTACTCAGCGGTCTGGAGTTAATAAGTTAATCTTTAAAATAACCTGGTAACTGACTTTCACAGATAGCTCCGTCGAAGGTTCTTCCCCTTGGTGGAACGGAAGACATGGAGGTCAAACTCTCAGAGGTGACAGTTCATCATCCCAATAAACACCAAGCCAATCAGGAATGAGAAAGAAAACAGAAGTCCCCATGCCCGTGCCACCGCATGCCACCCTGCGCTGCTTCACAGAGGGCGGGGGGAGTCCTACATGTGGTCCTCAAGGCCCAGCATGTGAGGGTGCACAGGGCAGCAGGCGAGCTCAGCGCTGATGTCATCTGCACAGGATACCAACCACACCCACCTCTGACCACGCGGTTGGGACCGTGCTGCAGCGAGTACTGTTGGGCTCAAAGAAATTCCTTCGGTCTGGCCCAAGCAAGGTGACAAACTGCCCTCAGCTCTCAGAGCCTGGCTGCAATTTGACATGGTTGCAGGGGTCCCCCAGGCTGCATGTGTGCAGGCCTGGCCCCCAGGGTGGTGGCGCTGAGAGGTGGGGGCCCTCAGGAGGCAGGTCCTGGTAGACAGCAGCTTCCTTCCTAGCCACATGACCTGTCCCTGGCACACGCCCTCCTGCCATTGTGGTGCTTGAGGTGATGTAGCTTAGGGCACCAGCACTGGGGCCAGTGCCCTGGACTGTCAACTTTCATAAGGAGCAGAATAAACCTCTCTTCTTCATGACTAGCCTCAGGTATTTCATTATGGCATCACAAATGAAGTCCCAGGCACTTTTGCAGGTTTCTGGGATGCTGCTCTAACTGAGGCTCGGCATGCCCCTGGGGTGGGAAGAGTGCTGCTGAGGTGCCTTTCCTGTGTCTCTCCCTCCACCTGACGCTGGACAGCAGAAAGGCAGAGGCTGGTTCCATCCCAGTGAACCCACGCAGCTTATCTGCTTAACAGTGCAAGGTGGAATGATGCTGAGTCCTTTCTGGGCCTGGGTTTTAAAAGGATGGGGGGCTTGGAAACTGGACCCCAGCTTCCATGTGAGAAGCCTTCCTGGAAGGTGGCGCACACTCGGTGTGAAGGAGAGGGCCCCGCTGAGTCCGCCTCCTGCTGTCATTCCAAGCAAAGTCATCAAGGGTCTTCTGAACCAGTCTGTCTATGCTGTGACCCCAGGACAGGGGTCACAGAAAGCAGGACCGTAAGGCTGTGTTTCCTTTTATCAAAGTTCCAGCAGAGCATTTTGTAGAGCGGAAGGTAGGGAGAACTCTGAGTTCCCACCGAGGTTGTGGTTTCACCCAACTGAATGTGACTTTAGAAAATGCGTAGTTAACTACACACAGGGCGAAGACAGGGGAATCATCCACAACAGGCAGTGGCTCTGTGATAGACGCGCACAGCTCTGGGGAACTCTCCCAACTCTCCTAAGGACCACCTGTGGCTGTCGGGTGTCCTCGTCCAGCACTTTCCTTCCAGTCCCTGCTGCTCACGTCTCGTGGTCCTGGGAATGAGCCATTTCTACAGAGGGACGGGAGGCTAAGGCTGCCTCTTGGATACATCCACTTGGTCTTCTCTTCGGTTCTTGGGAGCTCTCTGATGCTCTTCTTGGACCTCAGCTAATTTCCTGAGGTGATGTTGCTGCATAGGGGAGTTGCAGACAGCTTGGGGGCTACTGTCCTTCCTCCCTTTCCTGCTATAACTGTCCCCTTTGGGATTCCCATGTCCAGTGACAGTGGCCATGCTCAGGACTCTCCAAACTAAATATTTCTAATGGAGGTACCCTAATCCACGCAGAACTCACAGCTTATGTCATGGTGCAGCTGCAGAAACCTCTGTGAAGGGGCGTGTCCACCAAGAACTCAGAGACCCTCTGAACTACCAGCCTCATGGGACATGGCCCTTCCTGGAGGTGACATGTCTGTGGAAGGAAGGGAAGACATCTGCAAGTCTGCTGGCAGAGACCCATCAGAGCACAAGACCACGGGGCAAAGAATGACAGTGATCTAGCAGCTTTTGCTGTAGACAAAGAGACTGGAGAGACCCACTGCCGATTTGCTGAAGCCAAGTCAGTGGGACAGTGTCAGGGAACAGGATATGGCTGTCCCCACAGACAGAAGCACAAGAATGATTTAACAGCAGGAGGAGGAGAAGCAGGAGATGGGATCATGTTTTTTGTGCTTATTTGTTTGTTTGTTTGAATCACCTTATGATTTATCTGGCCACCCTCATCCTGGGTTCTCTGTGGAGAAAGCACTCTTCGCTTTCCCTCCAGCCTTCACTCGGCCCTATTTCTCCTTCCTTTTCTTCTGTGCTGGCTCTGCTTGAGGGAGAGAGGAAGGAGTGGCCTTGGGAGTTGAGGGTGGATTTCTGTCCCAGGGCTGCCACCTCCCAACCCGATTTCTCTATTTCCTTGATACTCAACCCCTCTCCGCAGGTGGAGGAAGGTGGAGGAAGGAGACAGCGCTGTGAAAAATACCAGGCAGCATAAACTCTTCAGTCCAACCCTGAGGATGGAGTCCCCAACACATGCTGGTGGCAGAGGCAAAGTCACTGTCAGCCACCTGCTGCCCTCCCATGCCCTGAAGGCATGAGAAGATTTACAGGTCTCCAGGCAGATGTTCTTTCCTTCCTTTTTTGTGGGAGGAGGGTACTGGGAATTAAACCCAGTGCCTTTGATGGAGCCTTGTCTTCTTTAAGACACGGATCCCACCAAGTTGCCCAGGGTGGTCTTGAACTTACAATCTTCCTGCCTCAGCCTCACAGACATGCACCACCATGCCCAGCTATGCACTTGTGTAAGAAAGAATCCCTTTTCGTGAGCATAGGTATGCATTAACTAGTGCTATAAAGAAAAAGCTTTCATCTTACTCCTGAGATCTCATGTATATCAGCAAGACACGATCAATCTTCATTTTCATAATGAAGATTGGGAATACTTTCATCCTAACGATCCCAATTTCCAAATAATTAGACTCTGGAACTAGAAGTTTCTGCATATAGATGTTACCTCCTATCTCTTCCTCGGGTGAGCTGCTTTTCAATCAACTGATCACACAGGAAGTCACGTGACCCTCCTCCGCACTGAGCTTGGGGTCTCTTCTTCACTGCAGCTCCCCGCACTGTGCTCAGGGCAGCCTTCTTCCGCTCGCTTGCAGGTGCCCGGCACCCATGCAGGCACCCTCCCTCCAGCCCGTGAGATCCCATCACCATCACTGTCTGAGGATATGGCTCAGAGGCACAGCCTGGCACGTGTGCAGCCTGTGGTTCCATCCCCCGCACCGCAAAACACTCTGCCCTTGCTGGAGTTGTTCCTTCTGCCAAGAACACGGCCCCTCACCCTTGCCCTGCTTGAGATTCTCTGGAAGCCTCACCCAAACGCCAGCCCCTGGCCAGATCCACAACTCCCCCACCCCCGCCTCCTATGACACTGATCATACGCTGAGCATCACTCCGTGGTGCACAGGAATCACCCCGGGATCCCCTTAGAGTGGAGATTCTGAGTGCTGCTGAGTCCAGGCTGGGGCCTGAGGTTCCGCAGTTCTCGAAGCTCCTCTTTGATGCTGGAGCCACTGCCGGATAGACCCCGCCTGAGCTGCCAGCTTTGAGGAGCCCGTCCGGAAGTCACAGCCAGGCCCTCCACCATCTTTTTTTTTTTTTTTTTTTTTTTTTTTTTTTTTGGTTTTTCTCCGGTACCGGGAACCGAACTCACGACCTTGTGCTTGCCAGGCAGGCGCTTTTGCCGCTGAGCTAAATCCCCAGCCCTCCCTCGTCTTCTAGTGGTGTTGCTGGATAGCTGTGTCAAAAGATGGTGGAGGGGGGCTGGGGATTTAGCTCAGCGGCAAAGCGCCTGCCTGGCAAGCGCAAGGTCATGAGTTCAGTTCCTGGTACCGGAGAAAAACCAGAAAAACCAGAAAAAAAAAAAAAAAAAGAAGACCAGGGAGAGGGAAGGTCGGGGCTGCTGGCATAGCGGGGGATGGGGGCATGAGGAGCTCGGGGAGGGGTGGGCTGGAGAGAGTGGAGTCAGAGATGAAAGAGAAACTGGAGAGGTTAGGAAGGAAAAGGAGTGAAGCAAACTGGGAGACCGCAGACAACAGGAAGGAAAGAAAGAGGGAAGGAAAGGAATGGACAACAGGACATCGGCTGACTTCCTTGTCAAAGTGGCATCCGGTCAGCAGCATCCGAGCTTCCAGAGGAGGGCTCTGACGCTGGACCACAGCGCTCCAGGACCACGTGCTCCACGCTGCTGAGCGCCGGCACAGCCCTTCACGACTGCACGCTCACGTGGACGCTGAGTGAGCCGGAACCCTGTGCCCATACCAGGACAGCAGGCCGGGGCCTGGGCCACGACTGCGCATGGACAGAGTAGCCGGTGTCAGCGTCAGCTAAGGAGATCTCAGTCAGTGCAAAACCTTCTATCTGAACCTCACACCAATCGCGAATGAAAAGCAGCCACACCAGAGTTACCTGGTACAGCTCGATCCGCTGCTCGGGCACCCTGGCCTTGGGGTTCTGCAAACGGAAGACTCTGAACTCTGCTTTCACCAAATTGGAAGCGTTCTTCTCCATCGCCGAAACGTCAAAGCGGATGATCCTGAAGTAGGGTCTGTAGAAAGGGGGCGGGATGGCATCTGTAAAAAGTTAGGGCAATCATTGGAAATGATAAAACCCACTGCGCTTGCACAGAAGACCGCAGCATGAGACAGTCCCAGAAACCGTGCGGGAAAGGGCCACAGGATGCGTCCGCTTCCAATGGCCGATTCAATACCATCAACAATCTAACCAGAACAAGAAAAAAATAAACATATGCATTTGGTTACAGAAGTAGCAGATTAATAAAGATTAGCACACCACTTTCAATGACATTCGAGGGCATGCAGTTAACTCTGTCCTTTGGAGGCTGACGGGGTGGTGGAAAATCCTAGAGGGTTATAAACTGGAACAAGTTCGTGACAGCTGAAGTCTGGAGAGAGCTGTCAGGCCTGCTTACACTTTAATCCGATGTGCCAAGAAAATAGCTCCTAATGGCAAGCAGCTTGCCCATGTATTTTTTTTTTTTCCTTGAAAGTCTGGCATCCAAATACTCTACTTTTATCCAGGCTCATGTACTACATCTTTTTTGGCTACAATAGTTTGGTTTTTCACACATGTATGGCCAACTTACGGTAAGGAAATGTGAGTAAACAGAACTATACCCATAAGCTGGCCATGCAAGGTCTCACCCTAAAATTCTTTATTTGGGATACTACCTGTTGGTGTGTGGCCACCCTCAGGATGAAGGAGAAGAAATCAGCAGCGGTTCCTGCAGCTCTGAACCACGTAGAAGACAGAGTTGCAGGTAGTACCCAACAATTCCAAGTTCATGCCTTGCTTAGAGTTTTGCTGTTATTTTTAGTTACCTGGCAGTGCCTTTAAATATGCATCTGAGGCTACACCAGAAAGCAGGCCACCCCCCATGCTTTTATACACAGTGTTCACTTCTCGGGCTCCAACACCAAGCAGGCCCCTTGTCACAGCCAAATGTCCACAGTCTTTTCCAAAACCTCTTACAAATTTACCTTCCCTGTTCCAAGGCTCCATCCCATGTGGTGGCTCCATCTCCTTCTACCCTTCCTTCTCTTATGTAGCTTTTTTACAACATGGTCATTCACACTTGTGTATGTTTCTTTACAAACATTTTTATGACCACGGCATCATGTTTGTTTATTTTGTTTTTCCCTGTGAAATTTTAAGAATCTGAAAGGCAGAGCCTGTTTGCCAGGCCTTTCTTTTTCCCTGAATATTCAGGACAGGGCTGTGCACACAGGGCGCTCCCCAAATGACTGCTGTTTGCATAGTTGGTCATCAATGAGAGTCTTAAAAGACTCAGGCATCTGGCTACTGGCAACCCTAACATCTTATTAAATAAGCAAGCCAGCCTGCCCATCTTAAAATAGAAATAAATACCTTTCGTGATTTCTTGGGAAGCCTGTGCCCTGATAATTACACTGAAAAAAAAAAAAAATGCCAGGGACACAGGAACATTTCCTCATCTCAGAGCTCTGCAATTCTTTTGCAGAGGCTTCAACAGCCCTTTCCCTGTACGCTGGAGACTCTGAACACAGGTCCTTGGAGAAAAGGTGAATTCCAAGCCACCCTCTCCTCAACTCTGGTTCATAAAATGAATGTGTGAATTGAGGCTTTGTAGCTGGTAAACCAGAAGCCTCAGAAACAAACAAACAAACAAAAAAACCCCCAAAAATCCAAAGCATTCAGATTTTGGAGAAAAGCAAGTATTCATGCAGACAGAGCGATAACTCACTACATGGCCACTGTGAACTCATTGTGGTGGGGAGGGTTCCACGCTGGGGGACACTCATACCAGCAGAAAGATCTGTGGAGCTCCCTAGCATAGTGGCTACAAAAGGTAGCTACTCAGAAGAAATATGAGATCTGATAGAAAAATACGGTATGCATTTAAATTTTAAAAAATTATTATCGTAAATGTCACATTTCCATTAAACCCATTTAAAATATTCCCCCTGCTTCAAACACACTTATCCCATCCTTCTTGCCACTTTCTGAAGCAGTTCTGGAAGTCTTCTTTCATGAGTGTCTTACGTGGTGCTCGCGTGGCTGCCTCAATTTCCTCAGTACATTCAAAGCATTTACCTTTAATGGTCATCTTGTCTTTGGGGAAGAGCCAGAAGTCACACGGTGCCAGATCTGGTGAACAAGGTAGATGAGGACACGCTGTAACGTTTTCACAAGCCTGCCTTTCAGCTGGATGGCGCTCAGCAGCAGCATTCACCATAATTCTGATCACATCTTGTAAAGACATTCAGGAAAAAGGACTTCCAGAACTGCTTCAGAAAGTGGCAAGAACAGCGAGGTAAGTGTGTTCGAAATGATGGGGAGTACACTGAGGGGGATTCATAGTGGGGTGTCTTTTACTGCAATGAATTTTATTATTACTATGAGTCCAAGGGGCTGGGGATACAGCTCAGTGGCTAAGCACCTGCCTGGCAAGCACAAGGTCCTGACTTTGATTCCCAGTACCAAAAAAAAGACATACTACGAGCACATGTTTGTGGTACTAAATGATTACAGGCTCCATGTGGAACTGGTGCACATACATAACACATCTGAATTCTCTTCTCATCCCCTTCCTCCCCTCTCCTCCCATCCCCGCCCTCCATCTGTTGATCCTCTCCCCTCTGAGAAAGCTCTAGCTCCCTTCTTCCTATTATCTATCTTTTATTTTGTTCTTTATTTATATTTTGGGTTTTTTCTAGACAAGAAACCATCTGATGTTTAAGCTTGTGCATCTGACTCACTGCACTTCACATTATGGTCTCAAGGTGCGTCTGTTTTCCTACAAATGACTCAAATGTGTCCTTTCTTAAACATAAAATATTCACCATATATTCTGACCACACCTCTTGGATCTTTCTCTTCTGGAATACGCCCACCCCTAACGGTGACTGGAGCGTCTGGTCCCAGCCTAACCCGCTCAGCTGAAACAGGCCGCCCGGGCACCCAGACAGAGCGGCGGGCAGGCCGGGGCCGGGCCCTGGCTCCGCACACCCTCTTGGCCAGGCCGTGCTGCAGGCGGGCGGCTGCTTTCATCTCTGCTTATCCCCCGCCTTAGGCAGCAGAAGCTTCAAGATCCTCTGGAGGAGCAGCCTGGAAGAGCGGGGAGATGCGCGTTTCCTGTCATTAGCCAGCGTAAACACGGGGCCCCCTCTCCTCTGGCGGCACCCACAGGCCTCTTCTGCTTCCACAAACACCCATCTTCAACCCGCCCATCCTCATCTTATCCTTCCATCAAGTTTGTAAATAAGTGCTTTTAGGATTTATTTTTATTCTCCTTTGTGTTTATTAAACTCGGAACCAATTTTCTCTCCTTTCTGGTCCTCTGCCCACTCTCACTCTTCCTTTTTATGGCTGCCTCGGACTACAGGGTCAATTTTGTTTCTTCTTCTCCTAAGCAAATCGTGCAATGATCCCGTCCCAGGCTTTTGAGCTCAGAAAGAGTTTGCAGATATTCACAGGAGGAGCCCTAGGGGAATCAGACTGCTCCTCTGGGCTCCCCTGAGCTCTCGGCAGGCAGCGCTTCTCCCTCTTCCAGGCCTCAGAGAACCTTAGCCCCCCTGTGTTCCACAGCACCAGTCGGTACCGGGGCTGCTTCTGCTGTAAATGGGAGTGGAGCGCCTCACCAGGGACTACTCCTGTCTCATCTCCTCAGGGAAGAACCTGGCCCCGCTGCTCCAGCACACAGGAGCACAGCCTGAGACTGTGCACCGAGGACTGCCGAGTCCAGGCACAGTCCCTCTGTGCCCTGCTGTCATTTCTTACGGCTCACGAGCCCCCGCCTGGCTGAAGGCGTTGAAGGATTTGTCAAATGTTTTCTCGTCAGGGAAAAGTACAGTCACTGTCGCTCACTGTCGCCCAGACAGTGGCTCGGCCCTAAGTCACAGGCACTTTAGGGGTGGACCTCGGGCAGGCGCGGGGTTGGGGCCGGATCGCTCCTGGGCCAAAGAGCAGGGCAGGTGTCGAATGATCCACTCACTCACACTTGGAGGGACAGAGCTCTCTCCTCTGCTCCCTCCAGGATTCATTTCCCTCTCTGGCACAAGTGTTCACTCTCAAGTCCTCGGGCACACTCCCCACCCCCGGCCCCTGCCAGGTGGTCGGAACCTGTGCCTGACCTCTGCCAACTCCGCCACGGGCACACGCCGGCCCGCTCCTTCCTGTCCATTTCTGACCCACTTTTCAGTTCCGTCCAATCAACTTCTTCCACCCTCCAGTTTCAGCCCAGTAGGCAGGGGAGGCTGGTCCTCCTCCCACGCTGCCAGGGGCCTTGCCTCACACAGAAGACATGCTGCACCACCCCGCACTCCGGGTCCCTCCCCGCCGCCTTGGCACACGCCCTTGTTCCATCGAGTTTAGAAAAGGAGAATGGGAAATAAATCTAAGCTGTCATGAATTTCCAAAGTAAGCGTTCGGAAAGCCTGCCTGCGGTACTTAACCACAGACCCTGGCACTGCGACTGGGGCCGGAGCCGGGTCCCCACCTTCTCAAAAGACCTCCCACGTGAGCTCCATGCTCGGGCCCGCGGTCCTGAAGCCGCAATCATTTTGCCTTACAGAGCACATCTTGTCAGTGCAGCTTGCGGGACAATGAAGCGAGGGCAAGGGGCTTGGAAACAGCCCTGCGGCTGGCCGACCCACCTCGAGGACTCTCTGCCTCCGGGCCTGTGTCCCCTATGTCCTCAGCCTCTTCTGGCCCACCCAGTGATGACTGTCACCTCCACACTCAGGAAGACTGGCGTCAGGCACACAGCCCATGCACTTCCGGCAGGACACGGTGTCCAGTGCGCCACCCACTGCTGACAGTGCCGCAGGTGGCGGGCTCCCCTCACCACTCTTCCTCGAGGGACCAAGCCCATCCCAGCCTGGAGTGTGCAACGCCACCGGCGGAGCCGTGGATCTATGGGGCGGGAGACGCCTATGCCTCGCCTAAGGAATCATTGGTCTGGGGCTGCTGCCTGGGGACCCTGTGGCTAGTTGGCTGCATGCTCCTGGATACCTGTGAGCACCTCATTCCGGGAGTGCCCTGGTGCCCAAAGACAGCCACTGACATACGCACC